TATAAAAAATTAGCTGGGTATGGTGGCACACACCTGGTAATCCCAGCTACTCTGGGGCTGAGGTAGAAGAATCATTTGAACCCGGGAGGCAGAGGTTGCAGTGGGCCAAGACTGTGCCATTGCAGTCTAGCCTGGGCAAGAGTGAAATCCTGCCTCAAAAAAAAAAAAAAAAAGAAACCATTAAAAAAAAATTAGCAAGGCATGGTGGCACATGCCCATAGTCCCTGCTATTTGAGAGGCTGATATAGGAGGATTGTTTGTGCCCAAGAGATGGAGGCTGCAGTGAGCCATGATTGCATCACGGCACTCCATCCTGGGTGACAGGGTGATACCCTGTCTCACAAAACAACAACAACAAAAACTAGAAATTACCCAAACATTCATCAACAGGTAAATGGATAAACAAACGGAATACTGCCTAGCAACAGAAAGTAATGAACTACTGAGGTATACAATAGCATGAATGAAACTCAAAAAAACCCATGCTGAGAGAAAGACGACAGAACAAGAGTAGATATTGCACAATTCCATTAATGGAAAATTCTAGAAAAGGCCAAACCAATCTATAGTGGCAGAAGGAGTATCAGTGATTGCCTGGAGCCAGGATTGGAAGAGGAAATACTGAGTCCAAACTGGTATGAGGGAATTGTGGGGGGTGTTGGAAACAATCTACATTTTGATTGAGGTTAGGCTTCCATGGGAGTATACATTTGTCAAACCTCATTTGAACTGTACACTTAAAAAAAAGAGTGCATTTTATATAAAATATACTTCAATAAAGTTGTTTTTTTTCAACTACTAAACAAGTTCAGAGAAGCCTCTAATACATATTCATGTACATACTACCTAGGATTAATAAATGTTAAACATTTTATTTGCTTCATCTTTCTTCATACAGAAGAAATGAAATATTACAGATAAAGATGGTATCTCCTGGCCGGGCGCGGTGGCTCACGCCTGTAATCCCAGCACTTTGGGAGGCCGAGGCGGGTGGATCACGAGGTCAAGAGATCGAGACCATCCTGGTCAACATGGTGAAACCCCGTCTCTACTAAAAATACAAAAAATTAGCTGGGCACGGTGGTGCGTGCCTGTAATCCCAGCTACTCAGGAGGCTGAGGCAGGAGAATTGCCTGAACCCAGGAGGTGGAGGTTGCGGTGAGCCGAGATTGCGCCATTGCACTCCAGCCTGGGTAACAAGAGTGAAACTCCATCTCAAAAAAAAAAAAAAAAAAAAAAAAAAAAAAGATGGTATCTCTATAGCTCCTAGACCTATTCTTCACCCCTTCCCATTGGCAAGTACATTCCTAAAGTTGTATTTATCCTTTCTGTCCATCTAAAAATGTATTCACGGGCAACTTCATTTTATTGCTAAGGGTATCAAAGTTTAACAAGAGCTAATGCACTGCCAGAGTTAAACAATGCCTTGGCAGCAGCACAGCCAGTAATGATATTGTGTCTTATGTTCAATCTGCAGGGGCTATGTTACCTAACCTGTGTTTGAGGAGCTGCTAATGTAATTATTGGAGGGTTTATACTGCTCTTCCCCCTCAATTTTAAACATGACTACAACTTGGCACAAATTGGAATTTAATGTGTTATGATGTTCCTCTAAATTTTCAAAATGCACTGCTTGTAAAGTTTCAAATCCAAGATTAATGTAGTTTTAAACAATATAGCAATTTGTTATCAGTGATTTGTTTAATTGTAATTAAGATGGAACACAGAGATTTATGTATTTCCCTTAATTTTATCAAACATATTGCTAGGCTATTTGCAGAGCACCTAACACCACTGAATCCTAAATAGCTGGCTGGATTTCACTGTTCTATGGATACTATATGAGACAATCAGAGGGACTGATTTGATGACATTCCTTGCCCTTTAGATTTATCTTTTTTTAAGTGTATCTTCTATATTGTTCAGATTTCCCCCTCAGTTCTAATGTTTATACTTTGAAAGTTGATAAATATTGGGGCTGAAAAGAAGAGTTTAGGCTAGTATGAAGTATTTTGTAATAATGAAGCTGGTAATTTCTCTTTGTAATTTTTTTTTTTTAACTCACAGACACAGGTCTCTGAAAGGATATTACTAATTCCGGTTTTTGCTGGCAAAGTAATTTGTCTTTTCCTATTCTTAAAAATAGAAATTGTTCTGATAAGAAAAATAATAAATGAAATAAAGTATGTTTTCTCTATAAGAGAAGCAACAAAAACCAGTTGCAAACTCAAGTTTAAATTCACACTGGGGTTGAGAGTATTTTTTTCCTTTTAGAATTTGAAAGTTGGCTAGGTGCAGTGGCTCATGCCTATAGTCCCAACACTTTGGGAGATGGAAGGATTGCTTGAAACTAGGAGTTTGAGACCAGCCTGGGCAACATAGTGAGACTGTGTCTCTATTTTTATGGGGGAAAAAAAAAAACAATTTGAAAGCTGAATGTTCATTTGCTTGAAGCTTTAAATACATATAGATACTTTTTTTTTTTTAGAGACATGGTCTCATTCTGTTGCCCAGGTTGGAGTGCAGTGGTGCCATCATAGCTCCCTGCTGGAACTCCTGGGCTCAAGTGACCCTCCAGCCTTGGCTTCTGGGGTAGCTAGGGCTACAGGTGCACATTACCTTGCCCTATATATACATTCAATACTCATTGGCTATAGCCTTGCATATCACAATGGAGTTTAACTCTGTTCATCATGTCAGTAACATACTATAGAGTCACTGGATTATGAATGTGACTCACCTAGTGATGTGTCTTTCTTTTCAATAACATCTAATAATTGTAGAGATGACTCCATCAGACTAGTTAAGCCACAGGGCACTGCTGGGTCACTAGTGACTGGCATGTGGGGTAGAGGTGGAAGGGTATCATTTTTGGTGCTGCAGAAGAGAAGGGACGCTACCCCCCTGCGGAGTAGTGTGATACCCTAAGAATGGAGAGAACAGAGATTCTCAAGATCTGCAGCTGATACTGGAGGATAGATAATTTTACCAATTTTTTATTGTTTTTTTGGACAACTAATCAGAAGAAAATATATAAAGATTAGTAACTGAAGTCTGGTCAAGGAGAGGGCCTGAAAAATCTGCTTTGGAATATTTAAAGGTGACATTTAGATAAGGGTTAAGGGTGAACCCAGCTTATGGATGTGGGGGATCAGGGGAATGTTCCTCAGGTGCTTAGGTCAGGGACAGTAGCAACATCCTCAATAGCTAAGGAGGTGTGGGCATTTTTGAGGAAATGATGTGGTTTGTTTCATCACTATCTGAGCATCAGGAACTGGAAGTAGTGATCTGTGAATGGGATCAAGGTAGGTGACCAAGAACAAGGTGTGAAACTCTGGGGAAAATGATAAGGCTGTCTTTCACCTGGTTCAGTACACGGTGAACTGTTCCAGAGGTAGCTGCTGCTGCTTCTTTTTTTCTTTTGGTTTTTTTTTTTGAGATGGGGGGGGTCACTCTTTTTGCCCAGGTAGGAGTGCAATGGCATGATCTCAGCTCACTGCAACCTCTACCTCCTGGGTCCAAGGGAGTCTCCTGCCTCAGCCTCCTGAGTAGCTGGGATTACAGGCATGTGCCACCACGCCCAGCTAATTTTGTATTTTTTAGTAGAGACGGGGTTTTTCCATGTTTGTCAGGCTGGTTTTGAACTCCTGACCTCAAGTGATCCGCTCACCTTGGCCTCCCAAAGTGCTGGGATCACAGGTGTGAGCCACTGCACTTGGCCTGTCAAAGCAGAGTCTTTAAGAGAAAGGGATGCAGGAAAAAGGAGATCTTTTGAAGAATCTCTTTTTAAAAAAATTATCTTTTGGCTGGGCGTGGTGGCTCACGCCTGTAATCCAAGCACTTTGGAGGCCAAGGCGGGTGGATCACCTGAGGTTGGGAGTTCAAGACCAGCCTGACCAACATGGTGAAACCCCATCTTTAAAAATTATATATATATATCTTTTTTGTTGTAGTTCTGTCACCTTTAGTGGACCCTTTATTAAGCCTAAGAATCTTAGACTTCTTATGTCTGCTGTATGTGAGTTGTTGTAATTGGTCAAATTCGCAATCCAGAAATGCCTGTATTCTGTTTCTGATGTTCTGAGGAAGTGTACAGTTGTCTTCCTTGATTTCAACCACTAGAGCTTTATAACTTTACCTGGGAACATGAGGGTCATTATCATCATGTCTTTCACGAATTATGTAAACTTAAAAAAATTTATATTTTCAATGTAAACTACCCCTTGGAGGAAATTAGTTCCTTTAAAATTTATTTCCTAATTTTAATTTATACTAGTCTTATTTCTTTCAAGCTTAAATGAGTGGGCCTTAGTTCTGTATTATGGCCTATTTATTTATTTATTTATCCATTCATTCCTGAGGCGGAGTCTCTCTCTGTCGCCCACAGTGGAGTGCAGTAGCTCGATCTCGGCTCACTGCAACCTCTTAATTTTTCGTGTTTTTAGTGGAGACGAGGTTTTACCATGTTGGCCAGGCTAGTCTGAAACTCCTGACCTCAGATGATCTGCCTGCCTCAGCTTCCCAAAGTGGTGGGATTACAGGCGTGAGCCACCGCGCCCGGCCCTTAATTATGTTCTTTGTGATTTCAGTAGCTATACTTTAAAAAATTTACATTTCCATAATGAACACGTCTGTATTTTTATTTTAATTTTTTTTGGTCTTCACACACAATACTCCAGCTCCCTTGCGACCTATCACCTTTTTCCTACACCCTCTGTTATCTTTTGCTGTGGTACAACCGAAAGGACAATAAGCCGTGGGCACAGGCTGTCCCTAAATCCTACGGATTTCCTTTAGTCAATAACCAGAATTTTGATAGTTAAGGCACTTACGCCTGAAGAATGTGATAAATTCCTCCTCCTGAATGTAAAGAACTATTTTTCTATGCAGACTAACACCTATATTCACTTTCCTTATACACTAAGTATGTAACCAAATCTGTTCTTGGCTTCTAAGAAGTTAGAACTCAAGGTAAAGCTCACTTGTAGAAAATTACTTACTCATTCTGCGTAGATGGACACATGCTCCAGACTAAATCCACTAAATTCTGGCTCTCGCCCAAAGTGTGTAGCCAGTATCCATAGAGACTGGGAAAAGCATCCTAAAGCCAGGGCGGCTTTCTCCTCCTCCAGCTCTAAATTGCTTTCTTTTTCGGTGGGAGGAAAAACTCCGAGGTGTAGTGTGAGCGCCTAAGGAGCGTACGTTCCTCGGTCCCTCGACGCCCCATAGAGTTTTCGCTGAATTCCTGGCCAAACCACAGCTCCCACGATGCATCCAGGTTCTAGAGCGGTCAGTGGGGCAGCTTCCGGTTTAGGACAGCGCGGCTGCGCACGGACTGTAGTCTTATTGGGTCGAACCGCCTCGTGCGATGCGTGTCACGGCGACGTGAGGGCGGGGAGACGCGGCGGCGGCGGCGGCGGCGGCCGCGGTCGCGGCGGGGCGAGCGCTATTCCAGAAGCGGCATCGCGACGGAGGCAGCGGCGGCGGCTACACCGGTCTGGGCCCCCTCCCTCCTCCGTTCCCCCTCCTCCCCCTTCCCCTCAGCCGTGGTTCCTGAGAAGTCCAAGACTCGGGGTGAGGCGGCGACGGGCTCCAGGTGAGGGTCTCTGGAGTGTGGGCGCCGTTTCCTGGGCGCAGAGGGAGAGTCTGGGGTCGGGGGGAGGTGAGGGCTGTGGGGGCGAGTGTCCCCGGCGCGGGCCGGAGAGCGCGCGTTCGGCTTGCCGGCAACGCGACGGGCGGCCGTGGGGGGCCTGGAGCCGCCCTCCTTGCGACCGCAGTCAGAGGAGCCCGGCGCCCGGCGCCCACCGCCCGCCGCCGCGGCGGGGCGAGCGCGATTCCAGAAGCCGCATCGCGGCGGAGGCAGCGGCGGCGGCTACACCGGGATGGGTCCCCTCCCTCCTCCGTTCCCCCCTCCTCCCCCTTCTGTTCAGCCGTGGTTCCCGAGAAATTCGAGACGCGCGGCGAGGCGGCGACGGGCTCCAGGTGAGGGTCTCTGGAGTGTGGGCGCCGTTTCCTGGGCACCGAGGGAGATCCTGGGGTCGGAAGGAGGTGAGGGCTGAGGGGGCGAGTGTCCCCCGGCGCGGGCCGGAGAGCGCGCGTTCGGCCCGGCCCGCAACTCGATCCCTAAGTCGGACGTGCCGCCCGGCGCGGGGTGCGCGGGGTGCAGTGGTTCGACGGGCGGCCGTGGGGGACCTGGAGCCGCCCTCTTTGCGACTGCCGTCAGAGGAGCCCGGCGCCCACCGCCCACCTCGTCACGCCTGTATTGGTGAAGGGTCGGAGCCCGCCGCCCTCAGCTCTGCTCACCTTCGGGTGCAGTTGCTCCGGCTCACTGTCCGCGGAGAGGATCTGCCCGCCCCTCTTCGTCTCCGTCTGTTCTGTCTCTTATAGGAATTTCTTGGGTGGAGGCTTGGGATGGGCTCTCTAAGCACTACTTTCAGTGACGGGTGGGGAGAGTTCCCTCACCTTTCTCAGGTGGCGTGTCAGGCAGCCTGCTTGGTACCTTGAGTCCTTTTCTCGCAAGCCCCGCTCTGTCAGTGTTCGTTTCTTTTAAAATTACTGATAACAGGGTTATAAATCAGTGTTTAGGGTGCTCGGAGAGATTTTGGATTGGAAACTGATACTCTTTTTCTCCTGGCTTCTTGACCTTGATTTAAAAGTTTGCCTCTGGAATTCTGACAACTTCGTAAAATGGTCCAAAAGTGAATTTTGGTAGATAGGTCTAAATGCCTAATTGGGATTTTATGGGGTACAGTGACTTCGTTGACTTTTTTTATTTCTTTTTTTTTTTTAGTAGGATGGTCTTTAAATATTTTGACTCTGGGTTTCTGCGACTTGGTTATTGTCCCCATTTACGTTCCAAAAGCAGACTTTTTAACCACCCCTTCCTCTCACCAAGGGAATCTCTTTACATGCCAAGAAATCTGTCATAACATTTGAAGTTATCGGATCACAAAACTTTTCCAAAGGAAATGTTAAAAATTCCTTCTACCCATAGCTTTATTTTTTGCGGGGAGATTATAAATCTCGTCAGTTCTAATGTTTGAAGTGTCTTCTTATCAAAGGCCACTCTTGTGTCTCCTTAAACGACTCAGGTAATTCCTGAATGTTTTCATCTGTTCTTATAAATTTGTTGTCAGCGTGCTGATTGTGATGATCTGTAACCAAAATCAGTAAAGATTTCCACACATGCGGCAGCTGCTTGTTGGTGAATTATGAAATTTGGAAAAATTGCAAGTTAAATGTGAGAGGCATATTTCTTTTAACTTCTGATTGTAACTGCCCACCAGTGTACGTTCCTATCTAGACTTTGGTCTGGTTCGCAGATTTCCTTTTTATTTGGCACTAGAAATGAAAGTAGGTTTTCCAGAGCCTTTTAAGAGTTGTTTTTTTTTTTTTCATATCTGTTAGGCTCCTTGTATGAATTTATAAATGAATGGGGTTTACTATCAATAATATCAGTATAGCTGTTGCACTTTTTAATTTTTTTTTTAGTATACATCACATTTCGTTTCCCAAAATGAAAATAATTTTATTCTTTTTTTCATGGATTGACAAATTTTACGGCCTGCAGGCCAAGTCCTGCCAGTTGTCTCTTTTTGTAAATAAAGATGTTATTAGGCCTGGCACGGTGGCACATGCAGGTAATCCCATCACTTTGGGAGGCTGAGGTGGGCATATAACTTGAGGTCAGGAATTTGAGACCAGCCTGGCCAGCATAGTGAAAGCCCATCTTTATTAAAACTATGAAAATTAGCCGGGTGTGGTGGCACATGCCTGTAATCTCAGCTACCCTGGAGGCTGAGGCAGAATGGTTTGAACCCCGGAGGTGGAGGTTGCAGTGAGCAGAGATTGTGCGGTTATCCTCCAGCCTAGGCAACAAGAGGGAAACTCCATCTCTAAATAAAAAAGTAGTTTTTGTTAGAACATAGCTATATGTAGTCGTTTAGGTATTGTCTGTGGTTTCTTTTGTGGTACAGCAGCAGAGTTGATTAGTTGTGCCAGAGACCCATATGGCCTGTAATACCTAAATATTTATTTACAGTGTGGCCCTTAATAGAAAAAGTTTGCCTAGCTTTATTAAAAATGATACATAGGCAATGTTGAAAACTAAAATGAGTCCCTAAGTTGTAAAGGAGAAAGTAAAAATTATCTGCAAGTACACCAGTCAGGGATTGTTTTTGTGTGATTATCTGTATAGAACCTGTTGGTGATTATTTTTCATATAAATGAACTCTGAACTCAACTTGTTAAGTGTTGATTTGTAATTGCTTCTTTTTTTTTTGGTGGGGAGTGCAGAGTTTCGCTCTTGTTGCTTAGGCTGGAGTGCAGTGGGGTGATCTCGGCTCACTGCAACCTGCACCTCCTAGGGTTCAAACGATTCTCCTGACTCAGCCTCCTGAGTAGCTGGGATTACAGGCACTCGCCACCATGCCTGGCTAATTTTTTTCTTCTTCTTCTTCTTTTTTTTTAATTTTTTTATTTTTAGTAGAGACGGAATTTCACCATGTTGTCCAAGCTGGTCTCAAACTCCTGACCTCAGGTGATTCACCCACTTTTGGCCTCCCAAAGTGCTGGGATTACAGCTATGAGCAACGGCTTGGCCGTGTGATCTGCTTTTTAAAAAGGTATGTCATTATTTGTATTTGGTTTTTCTTTTTTCTTTTTTTTTTTTTTTGGTGCTGTGACTCGGATTGTATTTGCTGCATTTGCAGTCTTTCTAGAAAGGGGCTTATGAACCAGGTGTTCCTGATTTGTCTTACCAGTCAAGATTTAAAAAGAAAATTCAGGAATAATGAAATGCTTGGTAATGAAGATGCTGATAGTTAACATTTATTGAACACTTAGCTATGTACTAGACAATTTTCCACTACTTTACATGTATTAAATCATTTAATTGCTGTGGCAGCTCTGTGAGTACATACTGTGATTTCTGTTATACAGGTGAGGAAACTAAGGCAAGCAGAAAAAATAAGTAACTATTGAAGTTTATCAGCTAGCAGATAGATGGTGGAGCTAGGATTTGAATTCATTCAGTCTGATTTGAGAACCCAAATTCTTAACAATATGCTATAGAGCCTCTCCTTACATTATTGCTCAGTGTAGAAAGTTTAGACAGTCCAGAGATATACAGTCATCCCTTGGTGTCTGTAGGGATTGTTTCCAGGACCTTTCATGGATACCGAGATCCACAGATGCTCAAATCTCTGATATAAAATTGCATATTACCTGTGCATCTCCTCCAAATACTTTATATTATTTCTAGTTTACTTATAATACCTAATGCAATGTAAATACTATGTAAAGAGTTGTTATACTGTATGTTTATAGAATAAAGACAGGGAAAAAAGTTTGTACATTCCAAATGCAGATGCAATATTAAAAAAATTTTTTTGGATCCAGGCATGGTCGAATCCACAGACGTAGTTTACATAGGGCTGTGTTGCAGTTTTTTTTTTTTTTAGGATTTCACTCTGTAGTTGAGGCTGGAGTGCACTGGTGCCATCATGGCTCTGCAGCCTCGACCTCCCAGGCTCAGGCGATCCTCCCGCCTTAGCCTCTCAAAAGTGTTGAGATTATAGGCATGAGCCATTGCACTTGGCGGAGAGTTGTTTTTCTAAAAAAATGGGATCAAACCCCATGGTGACTTGTGCCTGTAGTCCCAGCTACTTGGGAGGTTGAGGTGGGAGGACTGCTTAAGGCCAGGAGTTTGAGACCAGTCTGGGCCACATAGCATGACTCTTTGTCTCTTAAAAAAAAAAAAAAAAAAAAAGTTGGCTGGGTGTGGTGGCGCATGCCTGTAATCTCTGCACTTTGGGAGGCCAAGGCAAGTGGATCACCGAGGTCAGGAGTTCGAGGCCAGCCTGGCCAATATGATGAAACTCTGTTTCTACTAAAAATACAGAAAAAATAGTGGGGCTTAGTAGCGCATGCCGGTATAATCCCAGCTACTTAGGCTGAGGCAGGAGAATCGTTTGAATTGCTTGAACCTGGGAGGCGGAGGTTGGAGTGAGCTGAGATCACATCACTGCCCTCCAGCCTGGGCAACAAGAGCAAAACTCCATCTCAAAAAAAAATGACCAAACCAGTCATTGAGCAGTGTGCTTTTTGGTGGTTTTCAAGCTACAGTGCTTTTGGACTTTTTAATGTAAACGTTCTTGATTTACTAATTTTCAGATTAATGACAAATTTTTTTTTTTTGGGGGGGGAATGGAAGAGTGGCTTGAATATTACTTTTTCTCTCTTTCTCTTTTTTCTTTTTCTCCCTCCCTCCCTCCCTCCCTTCCTTCTTTCCCTCCCTCCCTTCCTTCTTTTCCCTCCTTCCTTCCCTCCCTCCCTCCCTCCCTCCCTCCCTCCCTTTCTTCCTTTCTTCCTTCTTTTCCTTCCCTTCTTTCCTTATTGCATAGTGACAGCAGCTTTTTCCTAAAGGAATGCTTATTTTTTGACTGGACATTTTGGCTATACCTAATCGTCAAAATTCTTTTTTTTCTTTATCTCTGGATTTGGAAAATGGATTCACTTTGGTTTTCTTCCTCATGAATTCTTTTTGGTTTGTCCAGCCATAATCATGTCTCTTTGTCAGACTTTGGTTTTTCTGAAGATCCTCAGTGCTTCAAAAAATTACTTGCTCCTTATCACTATCTATTTCAATACATTTCCTCTTGAGCTTTCCGTGGGGGCAGCTCTGAATTTTTTTCTTAGTTGAGCTATGTAGATTTTCTATAAGTCATCCATTAGCTTTGGCTTTCCACTCCTCCATAGGTGCCTTTCAGCTTCTTGGAGATCTCTTGCAGTTTCTACTCATCAACAGATTCACCAGCAGCACCCTCCTCCTCACTGAGACTGGTGCTTCCCCGCCCATCTTTATCATTTTTATCCTTTTCTTTTTCTTCTTTCTTTTTTATTTTAATTTTTTTAGACAGGGTCTTACTCTGTTGCCCAGGCTGGAGTATAGTGGTATAGCTCACTGCAACCTCTGCTTCCTGGGCTCAAGTGATCCTCCCACTTCAGCTTTCTAAGTAGTTGGGATTATAGGCATGCACCACTATGCCTGGCCAACATTTGTATTTTTTTGTAGAAATGGGTTTTTGCCAAGTTGTCCAGGCTGGTCTTGAACTTCTGGCCTCAAGCGGTCCTTCTCCCTCAGCCTCTTGAATAGCTGGATTTAACAGGCAGGAGCCATTGTGCCTGGCCATATTCTTACACTCTTGATTTTATTGGGGTCTCTGTCAGCTTACCCTGAAATTTATTCTGTATCATGTGAGGATTTGGAAGAACTGAATCACAGTTGTAATAGACATCGTCATATTCTTATCCTTGTGTGTTTTCAACTGGGACAGGTCTTAAGGAAGGTCTTCTATCATGGCTAGGGGACATTAAGTATTATCTCCTTTTTTTTTTTTTTTTTTTTTTTTAAGATGGAGTCTCACTCTGTCACCCAGGCTGCAGTGCAGTGGCGCCATCTGTCAGCCTCCCAAGTAGCTGGGACTACAGTAACATGCCATCACGCCCAGCTAATTTTCATATTTTCTTTTTTTAGTGGAGACGAGGTTTCACCATCTTGGCCAGGCTGGTCTTGAACTCCTGACCTTGTGATCCACCCGCCTCGGCCTCCCAAAGTGCTAGGATTATAGGCATGAGCCACCATGCCCGGTTGAGCTATTACCTCTTTTATAGTATTGATTCGGATTGTCATGTCTTCCCCAAAGTTCTTGTCCATAATGGTTGGTCACAGTCATGAGCAGTAACTGAATGATCTCTGGGACTAACAGGTCATGAAATGCGTGTTCAGCAAACAGAATGATTTTCTGTTACTTCTCTGTGGTGCCACAGCAGAAACTTTTGCCCAAAGGCATAGAAGTTAGAAGGCTTATAAATTCCTACCAATCTGGAGATAACACTTATGAGCATCATGTTACTTCAAACCTCTCCTTAGCTATGTGCTTCAGGAGGGTTTTGGTAAAACTTTGGGGATTATAAATAAGGCTAATAGCTTAAAAATTACATACCTTGAGTTTTTTCTTCTTTTGTTTCTTGGGCACTTTTCCTAACCTTTTCAATGTTTTGTGTTTGGAGCCACTCTTCCGAGTGACACACTACACTAGTAGGCCTCTTGTCACTTTATCCTCAGATTTTGAGTCTGTCCTATTTGTTTCTCTTTATCATCTTATCCTAGGAAGAATGTCAAGGCAGCAACTGGTATCTTGAAACATGCAGTTGTGATGACATTGACAGTTTTGGCATCAGTCCAGATGTTTCTTGTGGAGTTCAGTCATCATATCCAAAGATATCTTGGCTGCAATTACATTGCCATCTCTTAATATGCTGTATATGAAATTCTGCAGTACTATATCCACTTTATTCACAGTTAATATTCTTGCTATCAGTCATAACATGAGGATGTAAAGTCTCCCAAGCTTATGGCAATTTGGAAGTTCAAAGAAGAGTTCTAGCAAACTTGATGGATTGATGTGATACTTATTTTTCAGGAAGATCAAAGCTTTGCAAAATGTTATTAGATGATCTTGATTCAAGACAGTATAATTGTAGGAAAGTAGATCTTTTAGCTCTTGGGGAACGTTCTGGGTAACAGTGACCAATCTGTGCCATAAATATCACCAGTTCTTCCAGTTCTTTTCCGGGTTTATTTGGTTTTAATTCGAGAACCTCCACGTGTGATTTGTAGTGCATGTAGTACTGCTGTAGGAACCCTTTAATGTCAGCCAGTGGATCTACTTTATTAGATTCTACAGCTGCTGTTACTGGGCAGCTAGTTTCTGCAGGACATGTTGGCTGTAGACTGGATCCACAGTGAGTAGTTCCCATACCACTGACCCTTGTAAACGCATCTCAGCGGTGTTGAGGAGTTGTATTTCTGGATGTGACCAGAAACAGCACTTGGGAGCTCAGCAGGTGGTGCTGTCTTGGCTGATTGTGTGTGTGTGTTTGGGGTGTGTGTATTTTATTTTACTTTATTTCTGAGACAGGGTCTTGCTTTTTCACCCAGGCTGGAGTGTCATGGCACAGTCTCAGCTCACTACAGTCTTGAACTCAAGGAGTCCTCCCACCTCAGACTCCCACATAGCTGGGACTACAGTTGCACACCACCACGCCAGGCTAATTTTTGCATTTTTTTTTTTTTTTTTTTTTTTTGAGGCGGAGTTTTTGCTCTTGTTGCCCAGGCTGGAGTGCAATGGTGCAATCTTGGCTCACCGCAACCTCTGCCTCCTGGGTTTAAGCGATTCTCTTGCCTCAGCCACCCGAGTAGCTGGGATTACAAGCATGTGCCACCATGCCCGGCTAATTTTTTGTATTTTTAGTAGAGACAGGGTTTCACCATGTTGGCCAGGATGGTCTGAATCTCTTGACCTCGTGATCCACCCGCCTCGGCCTCCCAAAGTGCTGGGATTACAGGCGTGAGTCACCATGCCCGGCAATTTTTGCATTTTTAATAGAGACAGGATTTCACTGTATTGCCCAGGCTGGTCTTGCACTCCTGCACTCAAGTGATTCTCCTTGCCTTGGCTTCTCAAAGTGCTAGGATTACAGGCATGAGCCACCATGCCAGGCCCTGTGTGTATGTTTTTAAAATTAATATTTGTGGCTTACTTTATATCTACATCTACTC